AACCTCGCTTCTTTGATGAAAGATGTGACAAAGCAAACGAAATAAATAAGTGAACAAGCACCGAAAGGTGTGTATTAGTGAAACGAATAGCTCAATTCTAATGGATAAAACAAAATTTCCTTTGGAGAAAGCCAACCCGAGGGAACTAGATTGGTCATTCGGCGTGTAGAAGCCTAATTCCTGACTTTTTTATATCGAATAAAAATATAACTCAAATTAAAAAGTGGTACGAATGTCAAATGGGGGTTTTGATTTGAAATTATCAACTACAACAACAAACAACACAGAAATAACAATAATGAGACAGATTATTGGGATGTGATTCGATTAAAGGCTAATATAGACAAATAGGTAACTTCAACGGTTAGAAAATAACTGAATGTTAGTGAGTAAGCTAAGTCATAGAGAGAATAAATTTTCTCTCGAATCAAGTTGGTTTCTGTCGAACACCAATAACAAAGCAAATAAAACCAACGAGCTGAACTCATATCAATCCAATAACCATTGACCATTAAACAACAATCTTGATTTTATAAAAGTCGATTTTATTATTGTATCGAGTGGAAGGCAATTATCTAATTGAATACATGAGGGAATTTATGCATGTAATTGGTGCTATATCTATTAAGTCATGATACCACTCTATTTATGCTAATTGTTTCCTTTCTCACTTCAAAAGTCATTGTCAATATCTTATATATTATAATAAATTACATCAATCAAATCAATGATCTAACTATATATATATCTAAGTCATAAAATAATTCAAGTAAGGTGCATGAATCTTGTATATTTCGTACTATATGTGTATATTTTGGTCTACTAATAGGTAGGTACATTTGTAAAGCTTTAACAAGTCCTAATTAATAGGGAGTTTACGACTTTAGGTTGATCCAAGGGGATTAATGTAATTTCACGCTAAAATTTGGCCATTTTTTTCCTTTTAAGAGTGTGTTTCAACTAGTTTAGTGTTTTGTTTTCTCCTTCAATTTTATAAAATTCACTCGACAGTGATATAAACCTTTGATTAAGGGAGAAACAATCGTTTCGTAGCCATGGTTTTGTTGTTATTCGTAAAAAATGTAAAATTTTGAAGAAATAATAGAAAATAAAAAGAAAGACTAATTTTAGAGAGTTTGAAGCTTCTCCATGCCACTTCACACTATAATTAAAGATGTACAATTTTGAAGATTTATTTTTTCTTTTAAAAAAGATAATTTTCAAATGATAATAATAAAAAAAAGAATAATTAAGAGAATTGAAGCCCTCTCCACTCCACTTGACAATATAAAAGAGTTTTATTTTAGATAGAAAATATTATAATCCACAGTAATATTACGACAATATTTCATAATTTAAGGATTAAATTTTCAAAAGATAAATAATTAAGAGAATGGTAAAGTATTAATTAACTCTAATCCATAGTTTAGTAGAAAAAGTCATTTAATTATGGCTCCCATATTTAATATGCATATAGATAGACTATAGTTATCACGCATTATAACTATTTTTTGTTAATTGTTTTAACTTATTATTATTATATATAAATACGCCAAAAATATCAAGAAAAGTCCATCTGACTTTATCAAATACAATTAATATTATTCCTTTTAGGACTTAATGGAGAATATTTTTATAATATTTTACTTGTATTTTCTATTTCCATTATTGTACTACATGCCATCATTTACTAGTTGGCAGATATTATTGATAACATCTCAACAGTATTTTCATCACTGGATTTTATAGTATAAAAAAAAAATTGATGAATATGTCACTTTTTCAATTGCTATAATTTGTCCTTTCGGTCCGTTTGGCCATAAATTTTCCAAATAATATTTGAAAAAAATTTGGCAAATAATATTTGTCCATACAATTTGTCATTATTTGGTAAATATTTTTGACAAATATCTCAAATTTTCAAATATTAGTTTTTTTTAATATTTGGGCCAAATATTATTATTTGGGATATTTTAAAAATTAAAACTTTACCCTAATCTTTTATCTTTTACAAAAACACCCTTTCTAGTAGTTGCTTGCATTGTATTACATCATTTTTTACATGAACACCAAAATAGTGATGAAATATTTAGTGAATATTAAATAATGATATTATTGTTGATGAAAATTATTAAAAATTGGCTTTAGGTAACAAAGTCATGTACTTTATCTACTTCACGATGTATGAATAATTCTTGTTGCACTCACTCCAAATTACCACATTGCTTCAGTGTTATAGACATTATTTGTTATTGTTGTAACTAACATTCAATTGACTTGTAATATAAACTTTTAGTTAGTTTTGATAGTTTTTAAAACTTGTGTGTATAAATCATATTTTTCTAAAAAGGTGAAATATATTTCCCAAATTTTATGGCCAAACACATGGTAAAATTTCACCCACATTTTCACTCAAATAATATTTGCCAAGAATATTTGAAAATTTATGGTCAAACGTCGGATAACAATCAGACCTTACCAGGGATAGGGACCAGACTATAGAGCCTAATTAAAAAGAATTCGGGCTACAAATATATAACACTAACAGACACATTTAAAGCTCAACAAATTTTTATGAAGTTTTGCCACAAAATCACTTAAAGTTTGTGAATGTATTATTTTATTTTTGAATTGAAATTAGATTAATAATGAATATATTTTAAATAAAATTTTAAAAAACAGGGCGTATTTTGGGAGTTTTATGGTTCACATAAATTTATATATTTTTTAGGTTATACATAATTTTGTTGTAATAATTTTGTTGTATTTTAGAAAAAAAATTTAAATATAATTATGTAAGTAATTTTTGCTTAAAATATCACTTAATATGATGATGACTGAATATATTTTTCTAAAGGGAAAAAGCTCAAATATGCTATCGAATTTTTAGAAAAGACTCATTTATGTCATCAGCTAAAAATTTGGCTCATTTATGCCATTACCGTTAAAGAAAAGGCTCGTTCAAGCCATTATTTATTTAACGGTGGTTTTGCAAAACTATTTTTGACATGTGACCAATTATAATTCGGCCACGTCATCACTTTTTTTAAATAAAAAGAATCATAATTCTAAAGAAAAAAATTGAATTGATTTTTTTAATTAAACAAATTAATGACGTGGCCGTATTATAATTGGTCACATCATCAATTTTTTTAATAAAAAAAATCAAAACTCTAAATAAAAATTGAATTACTTTTTATTGAATTCATTTAAAAATTGATGACATGGATGAATTATAATTGGCCCCATATCAAAATGGTTTTGTAAAAATCACCGTTAAAAAAAATAATGGCATGAATGATTTTTTTTCTTTAACGATAATTATATAAATGAGCCAAACTTTTAACTTATGACATAAATAAACCTTTTCTAAAAGTTCGATAGCATATTTAAGTCTTTTCCTTATTCTAAATAAGGTTTGAAATTAATCTCACACTTATCTTGTTTTCTTTTCTTTCTAAAATTAGGTGTTACCTTTTTAGGTGGATATAGGAAATACTTTTGATGTTTTAATTAATACACACTCTTTTTATACATTAATTTTTCAAGTTTCTAATATTAGCCATTCCTAATTTTTGTTATCATTGGAATCTTTTGATTTAATTAAATTAAGTGCTAAAAATCTAAATACAAAATTGATCAAAGTTATATAAAAAATTCACCTTTTTTTAATATAAAAGTGTACTAATCTTTTCGAAATTTTGAATACACTAATCCTATCTAATAGATAAATATTTCCTTCATTTACTTTCTCATATTCGACAAATTATATGTATTAATATTAATAAACTGAACGAACATATGCAACTCCAATCTAATAGCTATAAATTACAATTAAATAAATTATTGCTACTAATAATAATTATACTTTTTAACTATAGCTATTATGAAATTTTCGTTTAAAAAAAGTAGGTAAAAAACATACTAGTAGTAGACAAGTGGGTCCTAAATTGTTGCTAACTTTTATTAGTGTAGATCCATTATTGATGATATTTCAATATGTGGTCCAATTAGGATAGACAAAATGATTGGTAACCAAAATAGTTGAATCAAATTAATCAACTCATAAAAAAAGGTCCAAAAATCTTATCTTAGAATATGAATAATAATTATATTCATTGGCTTTACTCCTTTAAAGTTTACGTGTCGAATTCTTTTACACATAGGTGGATAAGTGGGTACATTATACATTATCTATAAAGTTTGTTCCTATTATTAGATGGTTATTTTAATTTTAACTTTTAAAAAATAATACAAAATTATTATAATTGATTATGTTTTTTCCCAAGTCTTTTATATTTAGCTAATTTGATTTTAGGAGACCTTTTTTTTTTGTACTTCTATAAATAGATGATTCTTTTTCTCATTTTTGAGGAAATTAAATATTTTTTAGAGGCATAATTTTCGTTTAATGTTTTGTTTTCTCTTATATATTAATGAAAAAGAATAATTCATAAGCAGTTGTTAATGGAGGTGAGGTTGCTGAATTTTGAGGTGTCGATGTTAATTTATGCTGAATTGTACGTTCTGTGTCCTCGAATAAAATTTACTCGCAATATGTATTTAATTGAATACAAGTATACATATATCTTTTGATATACTGTTCATATTTTTTGCACGACCTCTTTTTTACTATAGTTTAATTTCTTTTCATACTTAATTCTGTTGTGCTTTACTTGAACTAATGAATTATCGATTTTCTACCGTCACACAATAAAAGTAAGGCTACATAGATATCACTCTTCTCTTATTTCTTAAGTGTGTTATTGTATCTTATATGGTTAGCTTTTATATGACACTTGATAATTTTGATTCTAAACCTCTATTTCATATTACTTGTGATTTTGAAGAGTCTCCAAAGATTATATAGAGAAAAAGTTTTTAAATATTTCATAATTATATTTGAAATTAAAGTTTATATTGGGCTTTGGGGTCCATAACATATGGATAAATTCAGCAATAATGTAAAGGTCCCCAACAGCAATTAAATTGACCTTTAGCTGATAACTATTATTCTACTACTTTTAGAAAAATAGAAAAAGCCAATAGTGAAGGGTATAAATAAACAATTAATCTTCAAATATTCTCTTGAAGCTTTTTTAGCTATGGACTCTCAAGTGTATCTGCATTTTGGAGAAAAAAGGTTAGATTTTTTAAAGTCTTAGAAAGATCAATATTAGTGAGTGTATAGGACGTATGCAGTTATCACGAATACAAAACAAAAAAAGCAAAACGAATACAGAAAATTTATTTAATCGATTTTAAATAGATCGATTAAGATCGAAGTATAGTTGATTGATTGATTTGATTACACAACATAGTAGAGGTAGGGAAATTTTGTGACTAATTGCTTGATATCTTGATTGCCTCCCTTCAAATTTTATGATGCAAATTCTAATTCTTCTTCTTTTAAAATTCTATCTTTGTTTTCTTTTTTTGGTTAGTTATTAATTTGTATAGGAAAAAATAATTCAAACTCGTAGACTATCAGGCTATCTAAAAATAGCGTTCACTATCTACTTTTTAATTGTATTTTTTTTTAAAACGTCATCTGAAATCTCAAAATTAACAATTTGAAATTTCACTTGTAAATTTTAGAATAATAGTTATTTTCCCCCTGTACATTGTAAGATATTTGACATCATTTCTCTAATAATATTCTTACCAAAAATTTATGAATTAATTTAACTATCCAAGTTTTAAGTTTTGGAATATTATTCTCTCTCTTATCTCTACAAAGAAATAATACATTTTCTCCTTCTACTTTTGAAAAGACAAGTTAATTTTAATTATGGTCTTCTATTGACTGTATTTAATTAAAAGAATTTTAATTTAGTATCAATTATTGGAGTTCCTATGATAATATATTACATTAAAATTAAAAGGGAAAATACATAAAATTCTCTTCAAATTTTTATACAAAATTCACTTTAGCCTTGTAATTTATACGTGTTTAAATATTCCTAAAAAAACTTTCAGGTGAATTAAATAATATCTTATATATACAATATTAATTTCGTGATTGGGAAGTGATATACACTTGCTTCACATCTCAATGACACGTTGACAACACGTCATATGGTAAATAAAATTAGTTTTCATTTCTTTTTTTCTTTTTCCGTCGAGGAAATATAGACAGAAAATAATTTGATAGAGAGGATAGGAACATGGAGCAGTTGAAGAAGACAACATGGGACCCACTTGATTTTTTTTACTGTCGAAAACTTTTTAATTTATCACATCAGTCGCTAAGGTAAAATTTATTCACTTACAAATAGTTTGAGAGGGTATTTAAATACGTGTAAAATTATAATGCTAAAATATATTTTAATGACAAATTTAAGAGGAATTTCATGTATTTTCTTAAATTAAAAATTAAATTCTACTACACATTGGTGCATGTTTGTGTTACTTAGTCAATAAAGGACAGCGTAAAGAAGTGCATTTAGGTTACCTTTCCATTGAAATGTACTCAGATAATAATTAATATAAATATTTTATGACAATATTCATATCCATTGATATATATATATATATTCTTATGTTTTGAGAATTATTTTTGAAAAATAAATAATGAGGAGTGAAAATTTACTTGAAAAATAATAAAGTAAAATAAACAAATCGAAAAACAGATTGAAGAGAGTATTAGTCAACAAGTATAGTATTCTATATCTAACTCTTCTTGAAGTTGGATGATGCAAATATTCAAAGAAGACAAAATTGATAGATAACAAACAATTAACCTAACACTAGTGGAAATTTAGTGATGAAATTTCAAATCTCTTATTTTCTTCTTTTTCCTTTTTACATTTATTGACATATATATCATAAAATATTAATTAAAATTTATACGATTTAACTTTTAAAAAATAAAATATGCAAATCTATAGAGAAAGTATAACTCTATATATAAACATATGGTATTCTATTTATATAAATATTTGATGCGAGTAAACTTTTACTAAATTATGATGCACAAAATCTAATGAAATAATGAGGAGATCTTTAAAAAGGTGATACTTGTCAAAAAATAAGTTAAGACAAAGTAAATTGAAGAGAAATATAAAAGCAAACCATGTAGATATGAGTAACTTACTATTCAAGCCATTAAAAACAAATATTGGATCTACCACCAATATTATTATTATTATAAAAAAACTATACTATAGTTTCTGACAATGAAATCACCCAACCAAATAAAGCCCCACATTTCGATCAATAAGCCAAATTGGACCCCATTATTAACTTAATGCATTTTCTAGTCCCTACATATGCTTCATTAATACATAATTCCATCATTACTTAATTTGTCAAAAGTAGTTGCTTTCTTGTCTCCCCCACCCCACAATAACCTAACCCCTAGGGGGTGATAAAGATAATATTTTTTTAAATTTCATTTTTAGTATTCGATATCGATTTGAACAAATTTGAATTTAATTAACAACATATTATATAATATAAAATGTTTCTTATAAAAATTATTTATATTAGCAAACTCAAATTTTTTGTTGAAATATCTTGAAGTATTTAACCTCAACTCGTATTGATGTTAGATAATATATATAATTACATGTACATGTACATATCCATTTTGGTTTATTTTCAAGTATATTAGACATCTTGATTATAGGAATCTAGGTTGAAACCAACTAATAAATATTCTATTAGTTGTCCTATATGAATTTTAATGGCCTAATGGGACAAAATTTTATTTAAGTGAAGATCTCTTTTAATAAATTAAATTAGTAGCTAACATGGACACATTATCTTTGGATTCTTATTGAAAGAAAAAAAGAATCAAAACTGATTTGTTAATTAAATCACCTGACCTGGAGGAAACTCAGATAACATAATAATTAATTATTGATTAATTAAGTTAACGACAGTACTAGTGATTAGGATCTTAATATTTTATGCCACGTAGACATGAAGACTGATGTGTGAAGTTTATTTAATGTTGAAATTATAAAATGACAAATTGGTTGTGGGTACAATTATCTTGATTTAAACGATGATTACTGACTATTAATTGAATAATTCATAAAATAATCAGGATTATACGAAGATTACGCGAGTGATGATGACACCTACTATATTCACAACTCCAATAGTATTTTATTATATAAAGTCGAACTTAATTGCTTCTTGAACACTCTTAACTCTTTTTTTATTACTTCCTCTATTCATTTTTACTTATTCATTCAACACTCTCCTATAGGTCAGAGTCTATCGTAACACAAGCATTAGTGACTAATCCTACGATTCAAACATATAACTTGTAAGTCAGACGAGGTGACTTTACGCTACTCCAAGGCTTCCGTTCATAACAAAACTGTGAAGCAGCTTTCCTATTTCAGACCTGTGACTATCAAGAATAAAAGTGTTCCGACTATCTATGAATGACCAGGATCAGAATGCCAATGGACGAGATCAGAGAGAAGAACACCAACGCACCAATGACGATGATACATAAAAAAAAATAATTTCAGCACACGGTACAATACAAGCTCTTGCCTGTGCCAAACACCACTTAAAATGAATCGATGAATTTAAATGAAAGAAAAAAGAGGGAAGAACAGAGTACTGATGCTATACTAAAAAAAAAAAACAGGCCTGTTTATAAATGCAGAAAATGTATCTTCACTTTCTAAATGTTGAAGCATTTGCCCAATAATGAGTTTTCCAGTTTCCTGATCACCAATTTTGTCAACAATGGCACCCCTAAATAATGTTTTTCTTGAAGTTACGGTCAATGGACTTGTGAAACTAATGTTCTTTTGTACAAAGTTTGTGAAATGGACTTGCTGGTGCCGAGTCTCTAAGTAGCTTCCATTGTAGCCACCAATCGCTTCGTAAAACCCTATTTCTGACGATTTAACAAGGATAGATAGCGGAAAAGAAAAAGCTTGACCGAAAAACAAATCTATGAGAATGAAGAGGGGGTTTATCTGATTTCCTTCAAGATGATTTGTTCTTCAGACTAGCCAACTCCTCTTCTTGCTGTTTTTTTAAATACCGCTGTGCAGTAGCATTTACAATCTTAACGAAAAAGTTAAGTAGCATGATGGTTACCACGCCGTTCCAAACTGAAGCAAATGAGAAATCCCATTTGTTCACCTGACAAACATTATGGAGTTTCAATTAAGATGAAGAACGATAAACTAAGGAATTTAATCACATAAAATAGTATTAGATGAACTGTACCTTTATATTTGAAGTGGACGGAGTTTTGGTAGCCATATACTTGTCTTTCATGGAATGGAGCTTGGCAATGATTTTAGGTAACATGGTTTCAAGACCAGGTATAAAACTAAGCATCCGAATCATCTTGGTTTCCACCCAATAAAGAAGTTGATTGTTGCAAACAGAAATTATGAACACGGTCTGCAGAAGGATAGTCAAATAACACATCTCTCTCAGGATCGACATGTTAAATAAATTGGCAAGTCCGAAAAGGGTGGCCGAGAAAGCAAATGAAAAGATCATACATGATGCCAAAACTAAACTAAATTGGAACTGCATCTAAGATGTTGAAACTCATGAATGAAGAACATTAAAGTTGACAGACTAAACTAAATTGGAACTGCGTCTAAGATGTTGAAACTCATGAATGCAGAACATTAAAGTTGACACAGACCTGTATGTGAGTTTTAATGATGGCCTTTCCAATCAAAGTTGCAAAAAAGAACTTCCAAAATGGGATCCCAAATTGTCCACACATTATGCCAGCAAGATCAAATAGAGGATTAGGAACCTACAAAAGATACTTCCATTAGAACAGTCTATATACTATTTGAGAAGATATATCTGGATATTAACTGATAGATACCACCACATGCAGCTAACTCCAAAACTATAGAAAAAGGAAAAGATAAAAGATAAACTGAAAGTATATTTGTCCTGTATGTCCCAGTTATGATTACTTTTTTGGAACTTATACTATTGCTTCCCAACTTTTGAAATCCACAAAAAATTCCTTCGTGGAGATGCTGTATGACACAATTGTCAAAGTTACAGGACCAACACATTTGTTTGATTATTATAACGTCAAAGTTATATTTGCTCGAGTGACAAACATCCCCAAAAGCCAGTTTCCTCTGTCCTGCCGAACTTCTGGTCACCACCTTTACTACAGCTGTCTGTAGTTATGGGAAGTTCAGTGGCTTGCAGAGACATAATCAAATTAAAACCATAATTATGTACTAAAAGCCAAAACTGTTTTTTTACAGTCAGCAAAACATCAACTTCACTTTGGGGTTGGGGAGAGGATGATGCTCTAGTGTATAGCTTAAGGAACATAAAATCTGCATACAAAACTAAGGTCATCAAGTTTATCCTCCGTGCATGTTATCCGGATGATTAGAAGATAGATTTAAATATAGAATTGGACTAACCGAAGCAAGTATTAGAATTGTGAAGAAGTTCAAACATTGTGCATGGGAAAAAAACCAGCGCTTCATTTGAGTCAGACGAGTAGCTATAAATCCATTGTTTTCAGAAGAGGCATCTAGTTCTTCCATTGCTTCTACTTTACTGCCTGAGAGGCTTGCTGCATAAAGGTATGCAAATATATTAGCTTCAAAATGCTCTTTTGCGTCCGACAAGATTGAGAACATATAGAAAATACAAGTCACCAAATTATGGTCTTGTTAATCAAAAATTGAAAAAAATAAAACTAAAATATAGTAAAGGCTATGCATATCTAGGCTCCCAAGGCACACAGATTGACCGAGGAAAATCAAATTCCTATCACTGTTCTAGAAGATTGAAGGCCCGGACGACAAAGCAAGTCCCGTAAGGCACATATTTAAAACTCAAAAAAGTTAATCAAATTCCTATCACAAATAACTTAATTCTCGATTGAAAAAAAGGGGTGAACTTTCCATATTACAATATCTTCAAACACACTGCAAGGTTGAATAACAGACTAATATACTAAGACCAGTAGCTTCAAAATAGGTCTGTGCTGCAGGTTTGAACTATCTACCCAATACAAGATGTAGGCTTGTAGACAAAAGATAGTGTAGACGAACCTGCTCTTGAAATAAAATATGGGGGAAGCTCTCCAAGTGCGGTTCCAAGGCCCCATAAAACAGCCTCTAACTGCACTTGGAGCAGTATGCTACTAAGAGGAACACTTGTGCCATGTGAAGATGAAAATACAGGGGGGCCAAACTCTGAACAATCTTTGTGAAGCCATAAAGGAGTTTTTTGAAATTGTATTGTATCATAGGGAGCCATTTTGAGGTCAACTCGCCCACACTTCATTGCCTTTATCGTAAATAAAGCAATGTGAGGGCCCAGATAAAGGACAAAAGTGTGCAAACCAGACCCTGCAACATGGCAACAAAATAGAGGATCAAAGATTTTTTATGGAAAACCTAGAAAAAAGTAGTTAAATCCCTATTACTATCAAGTTCTTTTTATGGAGACTCAAGTAGATAGGTCTCCCTCCAATATAGAAGCCATTAAACATAAGAAGCTAAAAAATCTAACAGTGAATGCTGCTTACCAAGGCCAATAGAAGACGCCACACCAAGAGCCACCCACCATAATCCAAACTGGAGATATCTACCAACCTCCTCAACATGCTGCATTGAAGCACACATGTTCTATTAGCACTGAAAGGACTGAGTTTAAAATACAACATAATAGGTACCACAAAACAACCAAACAACGCCTCTTCGAAACTAGTTGGGTGACTATATGAGTCCTCTATATCTATCCCAATCCTTTCGGCATCAGATGTATCATAGAAGCTGAGGGAAATAGATATATGCCATTTTTTAACTCCTCAATAAAATAATTGAAAATTGTCAAAAGGATCCGAATAAACAGTTCACTTAGTGATGTAACAAAGGAAAACCCAGTTTTAAGTTGACCAATTGTCGACTTCCAGTAACAAGAAATAAAGTTCTTTTTCTTAAGTAGACACATGTTTGTGTTAGGTAACGCTGGTATCTATCCTAACTTGCGCACACCTCAACTACAACACCAATTACATATTGCCTCCCACCAGCACATATATCACATCGCGACCACCAAGGCTAAGGCCAATGTGAATAATCACCCAGTGTTTTTATTGTTTTTTTTGGAATTTGAACCTTGGTCTCTCAGGGCATTTACAACGTTGACCACAAGCCCCGCCCTTGGGTGCAAGACATATATTATGATGATGCTACAAGTAACCATCCTTTTCCACTACAAAAGCATCTGAAATTGATGAAGCATACCTTTACATGAGGACCATCGGTTGTCACAAGCAGTATTAAGGCAAGTCCAGCAATCATACTGAAAAGCATACACCATCGGTGCGACAAAAGATATGCTATCGACCTCATAAGATACTGCATCATTGCCATACTGAAAAGCTTGAGTGTTCTGAAAGGCTGTGTCAACAGATTCAAATTTTCTAAATCCTTTTGATGCTTCGCAGTAAGATCTGCAAGGCAATAGCAATTAACTCAGTCAAGTAACTTTAGAAAGCAAATGTCTCCTTCTCTTTAACAGGTGTATACATACACACACACACTCTGTTAAGAATATAGACTGTCCCCTTGGTTTGTGACATTTTGTCCCCTTACCTTCTTCTCTTTTCAAATCTGTCTAGACAATGAGCATCACCAATAAGCTTTCTTCTAAAATGTGCTAAATAATTATATGCAAACTGTGAACACATTCTCCTTCCTACAATATGCCACATAGATAAAATATTTTTGTTTCTTATTGTTAGTTTTTTTTCTTTGATGGGTCGATCGTTTCTTTTAGATCAACCAAATTGATGAGACATGCCTATTACTTTACTTTCTAATTTGTTCAATCATATCAATTAGAACTTTTGAGTTTTCTCATTGATAATTCTACAATTATTTTTTAAGAAAAGAATTGAATTACTTGTTCAGTTATTTAAAGTGTACTATTTGTTATCCTCATACATACCATGATACCAGAGGTATAACATACGCTTCCAAATATTAGAACTTTTACCTCTACAAGTTACTTTTTTATTCTTTTATCTCTATAAGTTACACAATCTAAAAGATAATACCTTCTAAATTTGGCGATAAAAACAGTTCCTAAAAAACCTACTTTCCAAGTTCTTTTTATTTAGAAAGGTAAGTGTTACTTTCTGAGAAGTTCGATATATCATAGTTCAAGACCATGAATGTTTCAATTTCTAAAAATTCTCTTCTGGCCGCACCTGCCTTTAGTTGTCTTTCCATGTATTAAGAATCAAAAGGACATTCCAAATCTCATGTCTTTATAAAAATATACAGAGAAGCGCCAAGCATGATGTGGTTCTAGCTCATCATGTTGATCAGGCATCTAGTAACCATATGCTAAATGATATTATCAAACGAAAGCCGCACTGCTCTACCCAGAATTGGAATAAATATGGCACTGTTGCGGACAACAAAAGTCTCAATCGAAATAGATTGGGGTTTAAATAAAAGGAGAAAACAACTACCAAAAAATAGGGAAAAAGATATTGGGAAAAATCACAAACTTCAAAGGCCTTAACATTTCACCTTCACCCAATACTAGGTTGTGTGACTTAGTGGTCAATGAAGTGGTTGAGAGCCATGAGTTCCCAGTCGAGACCAAAAA